CCTGGTAGCGCCTCCATGCTCTGGACACTACGCTGACAGACACAGCAAACCTTCTTGCCACAGCTCACATTGATGTGCCATCCTGGATGAGCTGCACTACCTGAGCCACTTGTGTGGGTTGTAGACGCCGTCTCATGCTACCACTAGAGTGAAAGCACCGCCAGCTTTCAAAAGTGACCAAAACATCAGCCAGGAAGCATAGGAACTGAGAAGTGGTCTGTGGTCACCACCTGCAGAACCACTTCTTTATTGGGGGTGTCTTGCTAATTGCCTATAATTTCCACCTGTTGTCTATTCCATTTGCACAACAGCATGTGAAATTTATTGTCAATCAGTGTTGCTTCCTAATTGGACAGTTTGATTTCACAGAAGTGTGATTGACTTGGAGTTACATTGTGTTGTTTAAGTGTTCCCTTTATTTTTTTGAGCAGTGTATATATACAGTGAGGGAAAAAAGTATTTGATCCCCTGCTGATTTTGTACTTTTGCCCACTGACAAAGAAATGATCAGTCTATAATTTTAATGGTAGGTTTATTTGAACAGTGAGAGACAGAATAACAACAACAAAATCCAGAAAAACGCATGTCAAAAATGTTATAAATTGATTTGCATTTTAATGAGGGAAATAAGTATTTGACCCCCTCTCAATTAGAAAGATTTCTGGCTCCCAGGTGTCTTTTATACAGGTAACGAGCTGAGATTAGGAGCACACTCTTAAAGGGAGTGCTCCTAATCTCAGTTTGTTACCTGTATAAAAGACACCTGTCCACAGAAGCAATCAATCAATCAGATTCCAAACTCTCCAACATGGCCAAGACCAAAGAGCTCTCCAAGGATGTCAGGGACAATATTGTAGACCTACACAAGGCTGGAATGGGCTACAAGACCACCGCCAAGCAGCTTGGTGAGAAGGTGACAACAGTTGGTGCGATTATTCGTAAATGGAAGAAACACAAAATAACTGTTAATCGCCCTCGGCCTGGGGCTCCATGCAAGTTCTCACCTCGTGGAGTTGCAATGATCATGAGAACGGTGAGGAATCAGCCCAGAACTACATGGGAGGATCTTGTCAATGATCTCAAGGCAGCTGGGACCATAGTCACCAAGAAAACAATTGGTAACACACTACGCTGTGAAGGACTGAAATCCTGCAGTGCCTGCAAGGTCCCCCTGCTCAAGAAAGCACATATACAGGGCCGTCTGAAGTTTGCCAATGAACATCTGAATGATTCAGAGGAGAACTGGGTGAAAGTGTTGTGGTCAGATGAGACCAAAATCGAGCTCTTTGGCATCAACTCAACTCCCAACCCCCAACTCTGCTTTGGGGGTGTTTTTTTGCTAAGGGGACAGGACAACTTCACCGGATCAAAGGGACGATGGACAGGGCCATGTACCGTCAAATCTTGTGTGAGAACCTCCTTCCCTCAGCCAGGGCATTGAAAATGGGTCGTGGATGGGTATTCTAGCATGACAATGACCCAAAACACACGGCCAAAGCAACAAAGGAGTGGCTCAAGAAGAAGCACATTAAGGTCCTGGAATGGCCTAGCCAGTGTCCAGACCTTAATCCCATAGAAAATCTGTGGAGGGAGCTGAAGGTTCGAGTTGCCAAACGTCAGCCTCGAAACCTTAATGACTTGGATCTGCAAAGAGGAGTGGGACAAAATCCCTCCTGACATGTGTGCAAACCTGGTGGCCAACTACAAGAAACGTCTGACCTCTGTGATTGCCAACAAGGGTTTTGCCACCAAGTACTAAGTCATGTTTTGCAGAGGGGTCAAATACTTATTTCCCTCATTAAAATGCAAATCAATTTATAACATTTTTGACATGCGTTTTTCTGGATTTTTTTGTTGTTATTCTGTCTCTCACTGTTCAAATAAACCTACCATTAAAATTATAGACTGATCATGTCTTTGTCAGTGGGCAAACATAAAAAATCAGCAGGGGATCAAATACTTTTTTCCCTCACTGTAGGTAGGGTTACTGTAAAGTGACTAGGCAACAGTATAGATAACAGACAGTAGCAGCAGTGGGTAGCCATTTGATTAGCTATTTAGTAGTCTTGTTTAGCAGTCTTATGGCTTGGGGGTAGAAGCTGTTCAGGGTCCTCCTCTCCACCCTCTCAGGGCTGGGCATCTCAGGCTCTGCACACTTTTTGATTGCATCCTACCTGGCAGGACACTCCTACCAGGTGACGTGAAGAGGATCTGTGTCTGCACCACATATTCTCACTACTGGTGTCCTCCAGGGCTCGGTTCTAGGCCCTCTCCTCTTCTCTCTATACACCAGGTCACTCGGCTCTGTCATATCCTCACATGGTCTCTCCTATCATTGCTATGTGGATGACACAACTATCTTTATCCTTCTCCCCTTCTGACAACCAGGTGGCGACACATATCTCTGCGTGCCTGGCAGATATCTCAGCTTGGATGTCGGTCAACTACCTCAAGCTCCACCTTGACAAGACAGAGCTGCTCTTCCTCCAGGGGAAGGCCTGCCCGCTCCAAGACTTCTCCATCACGGTCCATGGTGTCCCCCTCCTAGAATGCAAAGAACCTTAGCATGACCCTGGACAACACCCTGTCCTTCTCTGCAAACATCAAAGCAGTGACACGCTCCTGCAGGATCATACTCAACAACATCCGTAGAGTACGATCCTACCTCACACAGGAAGCGGCGCAGGTCCTAATCCAGGCACTTTTCGTCTCCCGTCTGGACTACTGCAACTTGCTGTTGGCTGGGCTCCCCGCTTTTGCCATCAAACCCCTGCAATTTATCCAGAACGCTGCAGCCCACCTGGTGTTCAACCTTCCCAAGTCCTCACATGACACACTGCTCCTCTGCACACCCCACTGGCTTCCAGTCGAAGATCGCATCCACTAAAAGATCATGGTACTTGCCTACGGAGCAGCAAGAGGAACTGCCCCTCCCTAACTTTAGGCTATGCTCAAACCCTACACCCCAACCCAAGTACTCCGTTCTGCCACCTCTGGTCTCTTGGCCCTCCCACCCCTGCGGGAGGCCAGCTCCCGCTCAGCCCAGTCCAAGCTCTTCTCTGTCCTGGCACCCCAATGGTGGAACCAGCTTCCCCCTGAAGCTAGGATAGCAGTCCCTGCCCATCTTCCAAAAACATCTGAAACCCTACCTCTTCGAAGAGTATCTTAAATAATCCCACAGCACCCCCCCTTGCACCCCCCCTCCCCCAGCTTTTCTGATAGCTAATTTACTGAGGAAAAATGTACTATGACGGTGATATGTTGTTGTCCCACCTAGCTATCTTAAGATTAATGCACTAACTGTAAGTCACTCTGGATATGAGCGTCGGCTAAATTACTAAAATGTAAAATGTTACAGATTTACCGCTTGCCATGCGGTAGCAGAAAGAAGTCTATGGCTTGGGTGGCTGGAGTCTTTAACAATTCTTTGGGCCTTCTCCTGACACCACCTGGTATAGAGGTCCTGAATGGCAGGGAGCTCGGCCCCAGTGATGTACTGGGCCGTACTCACCACCCTCTGTAGTGCCTTGCGGTCGGGTGCCTTGCAGTTGACGTAGCAAGTGGTGATGCAGCCAGTCAAGATTCTCTCAATGGTGCAGCTGTAGAACTTTTTGAGGATCTGAGGGCCCATGCCAAATCTTGTCGTGCCCTCTTCACATCTTTGTGGGTGTGTATGGACCATGTTAATTCCTTAGTGATGTGGACGCAGAGGAACTTGAAGCTCTCAACCCGCTCCACTACAGCCCCATCGATGTTGATGGGCGCGTGCTCGCCCCTCCGTTTCCTGTAGTCCACGATCAGCTCCTTTGTCTTGCTGTTGAGGGAGAGGTTGTTGTCATGACGCTAATATTTGTGTAAACTCTACACAGTTTTGTTCTGTGGATGTCACTGAGTAGGCAGATACCTCATTTCATGGGTGCACATCATAGGTAAGGCCATACAGTGCATATATGCCAAAAGTATGTGGACACCCCTTCAAATTAGTGGATTCGGCTATTTCAGCAACACCCGTTGCTGACAGGTGTATAAAATTGAGCACACAGCCATGCAATCTCCTTAGACAAACATTGGCAGTAGCATGGCCAGTACTGAAGAGCTCAGTGACTTTCAACGTGGCACCGTCATAGGATGCCACCTTTCCAACAAGTCAGTTCATCAAATTGGCATCCGCCAAACCCAGATTAGTCCGTCGGACTACCCGAATACAAAGTGCCAACTGTAAAGTTTGGTGGAGGAGGAATAATGGTCTGGGGCTGTTTTTCATGGTACGGGCTTGGCGCCTTAGTTCCAGTGAAGGGAAATCTTAACGCTACAGCATACAATGACATTCTAGACGATTCTGTGCTTCCAACTTTGTGGCAACAGTTTGGGGAAGGCCCTTTCCTGTTTCAGCATGACAATGACCCCTTGCACAAAGCGAGGTCAATACAGAAATGGTTTGTTGAGATCGTTGTGGAAGAACTTGACTGGCCTGAACAGAGCCCTGACCTCAACCCCATCGAACACCTTTGGGATGAATTGGAACGCCGACTGCGAGCCAGGCCTAATCGCCCAACATCAGTGCCTGACCTCACTAATGCTCTTGTGGCTGAATGGAAGCAAGTCCCTGCAGCAATGTTCCAACATCTAGTGGAAAGCCTTCCCAGAAGAGTGGAGGCTGTTATAGCAGCAAAGGGGAACCAACTCCATATTAATGTAATGCATATTAATGTAATGCTATGTTCGACGAGTAGTTGTCCACATACTTTTGACCATGTGGTGTACATACATCTACAGTCGGATTTCAACAGTTTTATTGCATATTGTCAAATGAATTAATTATTGTATTGATTTGAAAGTTATTTAACAGCAATCCAACCTTGTTTAGAATTACCGGGTCCAAATATGTCATGAAAACCACTATTTGTATCCGTTTGCGTCACTTTCAATTAGTGACTTTTATTTTGAAGCCGAGCCGCAAATTCCACTATTGTTGTTAATCGATATTGTGGCTAGCTTCACATAGGTCCCGTCCTCTCTATACCCTTTCTCTCGACTAACGTCTGCTGTAGTTTCTCTGTCCATAAGTGGGGGCGACGTGGAGAGAAGCCTTGAGGAAGTCCATGCTCGAAGAACCTCGTTTCAATCCCAGTTCCCATTGTCCACGAAGTGAAGAGGATGGGGCTCGCTCGCTGCTGCTTTCCCGCGTCGATAAAGATGGACCTCGCGCTGCTGGCCTGCTTGGTTGCGCTTGTAGGCATCTGCTTAGCGCGCTCCGACGCTCCGCGAGGGGTGGCGGTGCCGTTTGTTTTTGACCTCAAAGCGACGTGCGACCCTCCGTGCCAACATGCTGGCATCTGCATCCGAAACAACACCTGCTTCTGCTCTCGCGGCTATGAGGGAGAGACCTGCCAGTATGGTGATGTTACAACTTTATATTTGCCTAGAAAGGAGACAGAAAACAAAATAGCCAAACTAGAAAAGAAAAGTGATGCATTGAACAATATATGAAATATGTATATCATGTATTTTTTCATCACAACATGTATGTAACATTTGCATGACTTACTGGATGAGTGCTGATGAATATATTGCCTGTTGTTTTGAACAGCTAACTGCTATCCCAAATGTAAGAATGGAGGAGAGTGCCTTCGCCCTGGAAAATGCAGATGTCCTTCTGGATTTGGAGGAAAATATTGTCATAAAGGTACTTATCTAATTCTGTTAACCTTTTAGATATACAGTATGTTGGTGCTTGGTTAATGTTAAAAATCTGAGTAAATATTGTAATAATATCTATGTATTGGTAACTACAGGAGGCTAGTACAAGTAACCTAAGATGTTTTATTTAGAGAGAGTGTGGTTGGACAAGGGTGGGGAGTTAAGACTTAGTCCTATAGTAAAAGGTTATGAACATGGACATGGGGAGGTAAGTGGATGATTTGATTTTATGTCTGTCTTTTCCAGTGAAATGTGATAGTGGATGCTGGAATGGTGGAGACTGCATCGCTGTGAACGGAGTGGCCAAGTGCATCTGTCCCTCCAGCTGGACCGGCTCCAAATGCCAAGAGGGTTTGTTTACATCCTAATTAGCCTAATCCACACAGAGGTGAAACCAGCAGTGAGACTGGTTGCTCAGCTGGCCTATTAATCAACAGTAGCATATAAATCCTCTCCGGAACCCTCTGACAACTTCATTGCAATGCCAAGATACCTTCACACGTACTAAAACAATAAAAAATAGTTTATTTAATTACGTTCGAATGGGACAAAGAAAACGCTTCACATGGCCAAAGGTATTGATTTATTGGTTCCCAGAATGTTGAGAATGCATTGTTGCGATGTTTCCCCAGCGATCTGTCCCCAGGGGTGCAGGAACGGGGGCAGCTGTGTGGCCCCAGGAATCTGCAGCTGTCCAGAGGGCTGGCTGGGTGGAGCCTGCCACACTGGTGAGTGAGATCTTAAGACGAATGCAGTAACTGTAAGTCGCTCTGGATAAGAACGTCTGCTAAATGACTAAAATGTAATGTAAAATGTGACTCATATACACACAGTTCACTCTCATAAACTCTCACAGATTTGGCACACAACCAACATACAGTATACACATTTTCAGACATGCACTTTCTTACTCTCACCCCAACAGACACACAAACACGGTACATTATGCACACACTAGCAGACACACTTACACAGATACAGGCAACAGGCCAAATAAATGTATAACCGTAACTGGAGCCTAATCACTAATCTGTTCTGGATGTGTGTCAAGTGTGTTACTTTGTAACACACTGACACACTTGGGTCAAACAATAGTTGGCAGAGAAGTTAATCAGGCATGCTAAAGAATAACAAATATAAATCAGACTGTCAGCAAATTAAGAAATTATAAACAGAAGTGTGTGAGAAGTGTGTGAGAAAGTGAGAAACCTGTCAACGTGAGATATCTGTTGAAAATGACTGTTTTGAGATTTTGTTCTCAGAGCGGTCTTTCCCCAGATGTGAAGAGGCCACCAGAGTACATAATGAGCCCTCCTTCCTTTCTTTCTTAATGTAACATCTATTTTTCTTTTTCCCTCTCCCTCTGTCTCTTTCCCCTCTCTCTCTATCTTGCAGCTGTGTGTCACCAGCCCTGTCTGAATGGAGGCAAGTGTGTGTCTCCCGATACGTGCCGCTGTCGCCCTCCTTACTCCGGACCACGCTGTGAGGAGAGGAAAAAGGTGTTTTAACCCTATATGGGGTCAGAGGTCAAAGAGGACCAGTCAGAGGCCATGTAGAACTGTATTCATTCCAAATCTGGTGCTTTAGATATTGTCTCTCTGCCTTTTGTAAATGTTTTTTTAAAGAACCACAGATTTTTGTGTTAACGATAACATTTGACTATTAACTTAATATCTACTATACAATTTTGTGTTTGTGCTATATAATGAATAAAATGTGGATACAAGGTTTATTGTTATTTTCTTTTGAAATCATTTCTTATCATGCAGTCAGATGATTTTCAGTAAAACAACACTTAGCGAACTGCTTTTACTAACAATATACTGTAGCTAATTAATAGTATAACTAATCTGTTACAAAAGTGTAAATCCATCCCCTTACTGTATTGCATTTGAACCAGTCAACATGTTACTTATAGCAAATTACATAATCACTTTTTATTTTGTTTCCATATGTGTGATTTACAACAATGAGGTGTAAGTGTTAAAATAATGAATGTTTTGACCTACAGTACCAGTCAAAAGATTAGACACACCTACTCATTCAAGGGATTTTCTTTATTTTCACTATTTTTTACATTGTAGAATAATAGTGAAGACATCAAAACTATTAAATAACACATATGGAATCATGTAGTAACCAAAAAAGTGTTAAACAAATCAAAATATATTTTATATTTGAGATTCTTCAAATAGCCACCCTTTGCCTTGATGACAGCTTTGCACACTCTTTCTACAATGTAGAAAATAGTAAAAATAAAGAAAAACCCTCGAATGAGTAGGTGTGTCCAAATTTGGACTGGTACTATATCTACAGTATAATGTACAAAAGTGATCAAGTATATCTGAATTGATACTTATAACAGATCTCGTCAACAGTTACAAAACAATTGCAGACAAGTGGACCTAAAAATCAAACAAGCTAATAACATTTCCAAGGCAGGTGTGATGCATAAAGAAGAATAGTATTATTTCTCCATACATATTAAGTGTGAAACAACAGTGCACAACAGTTTAGGCAAAAAAACACTTTCAGTACCACAATAAACCACAGCGGAAAAAACGTTGGTCAAATTAATAACAAGGAACAACAAAACAAATAGAAAAGTGGGTATTAATATCTTATAAATCTAGATTGTTCTTCAATAAACCATCAACTAGTTTTTCATCGGATTCTCTTCTCTTACTCTAACGTAATACTGTGTGCAGTAACACTTTTGTATAAAAGCCTAGGATAAGGACTATAAAACACATTTGTATGCATTAAAATACATTCATTAATGTCTATGTTAGATTACATAGTTTGGCTACGTTTACACAGGCAGCACATTTCTGATCTTTTGCCCAATTATTGTCAAAACAGCTGATCTGATTGGTCAAAACACCAATTAGTATTATGCATTGTTAATGAATATGCTATGCATTTCTTATGCTAGGGCTTTATATCAATGTGCTACCTTGAGCATTGAGGTAGCAACAAAACAGGGACAATTAGATACGTGCAATATATCCAGTCCCCGTTAATGTACAAAGATACACACACATGCACACGCACACGCACACACACACACACACACACACACACAATAACACGCACAAACACACACACACACAAGCACACACACAAGCACACACACACACACATACAGGCACACACACTGCCTAATAAGGACTCTTCTCTTCTGTTGGCTGTGTATTTTGTAAAACTTCTGCATCTTCAGTAATTTCCCTTATGCAAGAGGGGCCTACAAAAGAGCAAAGAGGTTTTACAGTACACAATCTCCAAAAAAAAACACACAAAAAAATGTTAATAAACATCCTAACTGTGCCCCAATGCTCACCTTTAACCCACAGGTGACGCCAGTGTACCCATTGCGGCAGTGGCAGAAGTTGGGCAGGACACACCTTCCCCCATTAAGACATCTCTGCTTACAGATGGCTGTGCGTCAGGCAGATGGAGGACAGTATAGAACTCAATATAAGTACAGGATAAAAGTATATATCTATGTATTGAAACTTGGCAGCAATAGGACTCACCGGACTGACACTGCAGGCCTTCCCATCCCGTGGGACAATGGCAGGTGTTGGGTCCCACACACTCACCACCGTTCTTACACTTCTGCAGGCACACGGCTAAATACACACACGCACACAAACACATAGAGATGCTTAGCATTGTCAAGGCATCTTTACATGGGGACAGGTTCAGGTTAACAGTGGTTGTACATGATGTTCTCACTCACGAATGTTACACCTCTTCCCCCTCCACCCAGAGGCACAGGAGCAGGAGTTGGGCCCCACACACTTCCCCTTGTTCATGCACATGGGGTCACACACACCTGAAAGACACAACGCAACATGCATTTTTGGCTCAATTAACATAACTGCATGTACTTACTAGCTTGCTACAGGGTTATTACAATTAGGTTCTATCACATGTATTTATGTTGGTATAGGGCCTAGAACCATTTAATACTGCATGCATAGACAGTGATGTGGGGTGTCTGGTTGTGTTGGGTGGCAGTGGCACTTACTCTTCTGACACCTCTTCCCTGTGTAGCCCTCGGGGCAGGAGCACACGTTGTTCCTCATACACTGACCTCCGTTCTTACAGGGAGGGCTGCACACAGCTGGAGGGCGCAACACACACAGTGACACACCTACAGTAATACCTCACTAAACCAAAGTACCACCATGCAATAGACTTCTGTGCAAATTGACGGATCAATCACTATTAGGAGAACAGTAGAATGTCTCATAATCAATTGAGGTTATTGATTGTCAATATGACACCTATTCTTACCAATCTGACATTGGGAGCCATAGAAGCCACTGGGACAGGTGCAGATGTTGGGTTTGATACAAGTCCCACCATTCAAACACACTGGATTGCAGACAGCTGGAGATGAATAAAATTGAATATTTAGCCCATAGCTAAACATACTGTTGTCAAAAAGAGATATATTCGGCATGGGCTTCTAAGTAGAAACATGTGGTGTTGATTGGAGTTACCTGAGTTGCATGTTGGTCCGTACCAGCCAGACTTGCACTTACACACATCGGGAGAAATACACTCCCCTCCGTTTTCACAGTGCCTGTTGCACACCACTGAAAAGAGACACACACAGACACAGTTACACATGACAAATCCTAACCCCTATACACACATTCCGGTTTTTTTAGGCAAGCAGATAATTGTAGGGAAACATGATATATGCCAGAAAGGATCAAATGGATTGAATGAGCTCTCACTGATTTCACATCTTGGTCCCACGTAACCGTAAGGACAGGTGCAGAGATTCCTGGCCAGACAGGTTCCGCCATGCTGGCAAGACGGCTCACAGTTAGCTACAAACACAGCAACCAAGAGGTGTACAGAGCATCCAGTAAGAAAATGAGAATATTTACAGTACAATATATACAATGGAGAACATATAGCCTTGACCCAGATCTGTTTGTGCTATCTTGCCAACTCCTATTACATAATTGTCAAGCCACACAATGAGTGACAATGAGTTGGCAAGATAGCACAAACCGATTTGGGGCCAGGATATACAGTACATAGTTAGAGTTCAAATATGTGTGGGATGATATGTTTACCTTCCTCACATGTTGGTCCGCTGTAGCCCACGGGACAGACGCACACATTTGGCCTGACACACTTCCCATGGTTCTTGCAGTCCGGTCGGCAGACAGCTGAGAAGGTAGAAGGTTAATAGAATCTACAACTTCTATGTGTAACTGAAAACAACTTATTCTAATTTACAGACATTTTTGCAGAAGTTATTTTGTAACTCTCATAAAAAGCCATAAGAACAGAAAGGTTCAGAACTTTTGTGAAACATCACAGTACAGTTGAAAAATATATGGCAAATAGAAATCAAAACTGGATGGTCTTCAGAGATAGATGGGAGGGGTTGAGTGGAGCTGAAGGATGGGACTAAAAACAAACAAAAGATAACTATTGTAAACTATACTGTGTCCGTAAAATGTATATAGTACGTATAAGCTGGAAGTAGAAGCCTAAGAGTTGTTGTCCATTAGTTTACTCCAATTAAGGGAGGGGTGGTAGGGTTAGGGGAAAATAATAAATAAAGAAAAATATATATATATATATATACATTGCCTTCGGAAAGTATTCAGACCCCTTGACCTTTTCCACATTTTGTTACGTTACAGTTTATTCTAAAATTGATTAAATAAAACAATTTCCTCAGCAATCTACACACAATACCCCATAATGACATAATTACATTTTTGCTATTTTAAAAATTAAAAACAGAAATACCTTATTTACATAAGTATTCAGCCCCTTTGCTATGAGACTCGAAATTGAGCTCAGGTGCAGGTCCTGTTTCCATTGATCATCCTTGAGATGTTTCTACAACTTGATTGGAGTCCGCCTGTGGTAAATTCAATTGATTGGACATGATTTGGAAAGGCACACACCTGTCTATATAAGGTCCCACAGTTGACAGTGCATGTCAGAGCAAAAACCAAGCCATGAGGTCGAAGGAATTGTCCGTAGAGATCCGAGACAGGATTCTGTTGAGGCACAGATCTGGGGAAGGGTACCAAAAAATCACTGCAGCATTGAAAGTCCCCAAGAACACAGTGGCCTCCATCATTCTTAAATGGAAGATGTTTGGAACCACCAAGACTCTTCCTAGATCTGGTCGCCTGGCCAAACTGAGCAATTGGGGGAGTAGGGCCTTGGTCAGGGAGGTGACCAAGAACCTGATGGTCACTCTGACAGAGCTCTAGAATTCCTCTGTGGAGATCGGTAGAGAGCACCTTCCAGAAGGACAACCATCTCTGTAGCACTCCACCAATCAGGCCTTTATGGTAGAGTGGCCAGACGGAAGCCACTCCTCAGTAAAAGGCACATGACCGCCGGCTTGGAGTTTGCCAAAAGGGACCTAAAGTCTCTCAGACCATGAGAAAGAAGATTATCTGGTCTGATGAAACCAAGATTGAACTCTTTGGCCTGAATGCCAAGCGTCACATCTGGAGGAAACCTGGCACCATCCCTACGGTGAAACATGGTGGTGGCAGCATCATGCTGTAGGGATGTTTTTCAGCGGCAGGGACTGGGAGACTAGTCAGGATCGAGGCAAAGATGAACGGAGCAAAGTACAGAGAGATCCTTGATGAAAACCTGCTCCAGAGCGAAGGTTCACCTTCCAACAGGACAACGACCCTAAGCACACAGCCAAGACAACGCAGGAGTGGCTTCGGGACAAGTCTCTAAATGTCTTTGAGTGGCCCAGCCAGAGCCTGGACTTGAACCCGATCGAACATCTCTGGAGAGACCTGAAAATAGCTCTTCAGCAATGCTCCCCATCCAACCTGACAGAGCTTGAGAGGATCTGCAGAAAATAATGGGAGAATCTCCCCAAATACAGGTGTGCCAAGCTTGCAGCGTCATATCCAAGAAGACTTGAGGCTGTAATTGCTGCCAAAGGTTCTTCAACAAAGTACTGAGTAAAGGGTCTGAATACTTATGTAAATATGATATTTCAGTTTTTTTTGTTAATAAATTGGCAAACATTTCTAAAAAACTGTTTTTGCTTTGTCATTATGGGGTATCGTGTGTAGATTGATGAGGGGGAAAAAACAATTTAATCAATTTTAGAATAAGGCTGTAACGTAACAAAATGTGGAAAAAGTCAAGGGGTCTGAATACTTTCCAAAGGCACTGTATATACTGTACCAGTCAAACGTTTGGACACACCATTCAAGTGTTTTTCTTTATTTTTACTAATTTCTACATTGTAGAATAATAGTGAAGACATCAAAACTATGAAATAACACATATGGAATCATGTAGTAACCAAAAAAGTGTTAAACAAATCAAAATATATTTGAGATTTGAGATTCTTCAAATAGCCACCCTTTGCCTTGATGACAGCTTTGCACACTTGACATTTTCTTAACCAGCTTCATGAGGAATGCTTTTCTAACACTCTTGAAGGAGTTCCCACATATGCTTAGCACTTGTTGGCTGCTTTTCCTTCACTCTGCCGACCGACTCATCCCAAACCATCTCAATTGGGTTGAGGTCGGGGGATTGTGGAGGCCAGGTCAACTGATGCAGCACTCCATCACTTTCCTTCTTGGTAAAATAGCACTTACACAGCCTGGAGGTGTGTTGGGTCATTGTCCTGTTGAAAAACAAATGATAGTCCCACTAAGCCCAAACCAGATGGAATGGCGTATCGCTGCAGAATGCTGTGGTAGCCATACTGGTTAAGTGTGCCTTGAATTCTAAATAAATCACAGACAGTGTCACCAGCAAAGCACCCCCACACCATCACACCTCCTCCTCCATTCTTCATGGTGGGAACCACAGATGCGGAGATCATCCGTTCACCTACTCTGCGTCTCACAAAGACACAGCGGTTGGAACCAAAAATCTCAAATTTGGACTCCAGACCAAAGGACACATTTCCACCAGTCTAATGTCCATTGCTCGTGTTTCTTGGCCCAAGCAGGTCTCTTCTTCTTATGGGTGTCCTTTAGTAGTGCTTTCTTTGCAGCAATTTGACCATGAAGGCCTGATTCACACAGTCCCCTCTGTATAGTTGATTTTGAGATGTGTCTGTGACTTGAACTCTGTGAAGCATTTATTTGGGCTGCAATTTCTGAGGCTGGTAACTCTAATGAACATATCTTCTGCAGCAGAGGTAACTATGGGTCTTCCATTCCTGTGGTGGTCCTCATGAGAGCCAGTTTCATCATAGCACTTGATGGTTTTTGCGACTGCACTTGAAGAAACTTTCAAAGTTCTTGACAATTTCCGGATTGACTGACCTTCATGTCTTAAAGTAATGATGGACTGTCATTTCTCTTTACTTATTTGAGCTGTTCTAGCCATAATATGGACTTGGTATTTTACCAAATAGGGCTATCTTCTGTATATCCCCCCTACCTTGTCACAACACAACTGATAGGCTAAAAGGCATTAAGAAGGAAATAAATTCCACAAATACAATTTTAAGAAGGCACACCTGTTAATTGAAATGCATTCCAGGTGACTACCTCATGAAGCTGGTTGAGAGAATGCCAAGCGTGAGCAAAGCTGTCATCAAGGGCAAAGGGTGGCTATTTGAAGAATCTCAAATATAAAATATATTTTGATTTGTTTAACACTTTTTTGGTTACTAAATGATTCCATATGTGTTATTTCATTGTTTTGATGTCTTCACTATTACTCTACAATGTAAAAAATAGTAAAAATAAAGAAAAACCCTTGAGTGAGTAGGTGTGTCCAAACTTTTGACTGGTAGTGTATATATGTAAAAAAAAAATTATGGGGGATTGGAAATGATGCAGACAAATACATTGATGGAAGCCACAATCTATCTGCAATATTAAAGCTTATATCTACCCCCCCCGCAAAAAAAACAAAAATAAACATATATATATAAAATCGAATAAATTGCAATGAGAATATGAATTGTCCAGCCCTGACTGTTGTTCCCACCTATGTGGCAGTTATATCCAGTATAGCCTTCTTTACAAGTGCAGGTGTTGGGTAGAGAGCACTCCATATTCCTTCCACATGGATACCGGCACACAGCTGGAATACACAACACCACAAACAGTTTCATGTCCATGTAAGGATTTCAATGTTAAAAATACAGTACCAGTCAAAGGTTTGGACACATCTACTCATTCAAGGGTTTTTCTTTATTTTTTACTATTTTCTACATTGTAGAATAATAGTAAAGACATCAAAACTATTAAATTACATAGATGGAATCACATTGTAACCAAGAAAGTGTTGAACAAATCAAAATATATTTTATATTTGAGATTCTTCAAAGTAGCCACCCTTTGGCTTCATGACAGCTTTGCACACTCTTGGCATTCTCTCAACCAGCTTCATGAGGTAGTCACCTGGAATGCATTTCAATTAACAGGTGTGCCTTCTTAAAAGTTAATTTGTGGAATTTATTTCCTTTTTAATGCGTTTGAGCCAATCAGTTGTGTTGGGACAAGGTAGGGGTCGTATACAGAAGATCTATTTGGTAAAAGACCAAGTCCATATTATGGCAAGCACAGCTCAAATAAGCAAAGAGAAATGACAGTCCATCATTACTTTAAGACATGAAGGTCAGTCAATTCGGAACATTTCAAGAACTTTGAAGGTTTCTTCAAGTGCAGTCGCAAAAATCATCAAGCGCTATGATGAAACTGGCTCTCATGGGGACCGCCACAGGAAAGGAAGAACCAGAATTACCGCTGCTGCAGAGGATAAGTTCATTAGAGTTAACTGCACCTCAGATTGCAGCCCAAATAAATGCTTCACAGAGTTCAAGTAACAGCATCAACATCAACTGTTCAGAGGAGATTGCGTGAATCAGGCCTTCATGGTCGAATTGCTGCAAAGAAACCACTACTAAAGGACACCAATAAGAAGAAGAGACTTACTTGGGCCAAGAAACACAAGCAATGGACATTAGACCGGTGGAAATCTGTCCTTTGGTCTGGAGTCCAAATTGGAGATTTTTGGTTCCAACCGCCGTGTCTTTGTGAGACGCAGAGTAGGTGAACGGATGATCTCCGCATTTGTGGTTCCCACCATGAAGCATGGAGGAGGAGGTGTGATGGTGTGGGGGTGCTTTGCTGGTGACACTGTCTGTGTTTTATTTAGAATTCAAGGCACACTTAACCAGCATGGCTACCACAGCATTCTGCAGCGATATGCCATCCCATCTGGTTTGCGCTTAGTGGGACTATCATTTGTTTTTCAACAGGACAATGACCCAAAACACACCTCCAGGCTGTATAAGGGCTATTTGACCAAGAAGGAGAGTGATGGAGTGCTGCATCAGATGACCTGGCCTCTACAATCACCCGACCTCAACCCAATTGAGATGGTTTGGGATGAGTTGGACCGCAGAGTGAAGGAAAAGCAGCCAACAAGTGCTCAGCATATGTGGGAACTCCTTCAAGACTGTTGGAAAAGCATTCCTCATGCCAAGAGTGTGCAAAGCTGTCATCAAGGCAAAGTGTAGCTACTTTGAAGAATCTAAAATCTAAAATATATTTTGATTTGTTTAACACTTTTTTGGTTACTACATCATTCCATATGTGTTATTTCATAGTTTTGATGTCTTCACTATTATTCTACAATGTAGAAAACAGTAAAAATAAAGAAAAACCCTTGAATGAGTAGGTGTGTCCAAACTTTTGACTGGTATTGTATATGAATGAAAACCAAAGAACAAGAGTGCTAACCGCTAACCTTTGCAGGTGACCCCATCTCCAGTGTAACCATACGGGCAGCGGCCACACTTGAAGGACCCTGAGACAGTGGGCTCACAGGGCACACCGGAGAAGCAGGGCGAGTCCGCACAGGTCACTATGGGAGTCGATGACCCCCACCTGACCCCGTGGTTGAGGTCAGGGGTCAGGTCCACCTTGCTGCTCTGACCTCTGTTGTGATTGGTGGGGGTGGAGACTCTGGTGATAGTTTGGTCCTGGGGGCTAATAGGTGTCTTTCTCTCCATGGAGGGGACTCTCTTGCTACCCGATGAGGGCCCGTCAGTTTTCCTCCTTTTCTGGAAGGAGGAAGAAGAGGAGGAGTTGGAGGTGGTGCCAGTGATTTCCCTACTGGAGTCTTCTGTCACTTGGGGACGTCCATCTTCTCTGTTGGTGGTAACTGGCTTCTGTCCTGTAAAACACTGGAAGTTAAGAGGATAGAGCTTGATTTGTATAGAGCAATTATAACTCAATCACCTCTATCAACTAACCCTATCAATCATCAGCTAAGTGATCAGGTGACCCTTCTCACCTGTTGTGGTGCTTCTACTACAGGTGTGTCCGTTGCCATGGAGCCCAGGTGGACAGGGTCCACAGATGTACCCTATGGACACGTGTGTGCTCTCGAAGCACTGCACCCCTGGGTAGCATGGTTGTCTGGAGCAGGGGGCCTGGCCTGATGGTTTAACCGTGCCAGAACCCTGGTGACCTCCAGTGGGTACAGCAGGTACGGGCACGGGCACTCTATGGATAGGCTCATAGTCATCACCCTTACCACTGGAAGGCTCTGATTTCACTACAGGAGAAGAGGAGGTAGAATATAATTACTCACAGTCAATATAAATATATTGATGAGAGAATGAGGGGGGGGGGGGGGGGGGGTAGAGAAAGAGAGAGATACAGAGACAGGGAGAGAAACAGAGACAGGGAGAGTGGGACCCACTGCAACTCTTCCCGTCCCCAGTGTAACCCTCTGGACAGGAGCCACAGGTGAATGAGCTCAGTGTATTGTTGCAGCCCACCCCAGGGAAGCACGGCTCTGCGGCACATTCATCCAAATCCTCTCTACAGGTATGACCTGGAACACAAAAACAACATAAAGTACACAGCCTTACACACACAGGATGTAATCTACTAACAAAACATCATACTCCAAATTCACTGAACCAGAAAAGAAAATGTGGCCCTGCTTGTAGGCTATCCACACACTGAAAGAGTGGTCATAAAGAGTATGCTTCTTAGAATGCATATCTTCATAACCGAATGATTAAAAGTAATAAAGCATCTGAGACCCATAAAAAAGTCAGAAAAGCATCCGAGACACCCAACATTAGCTGCAGTATTAGCATGGACAGCATGCACAACATACAGTATGTGTTCTAATTAAGCAATAAGGCCCGAGGAGGTGTGGTATATGGTCAATATACCACAGCTAAGGGCTGTTCTTAAGCACGACGCAACGTGGAGTGCCTTGATACAGCCATTAGCCGTGGTATATTGCCCATATGCCACAAACCCCCAAGATGCCTTTTTGCTATTATGAACTGGTTACCAACATAATCAGAATAGTAAAAATATAGTTTTTGTCATACCCGTGGTATACGGTCTGATATACCAGCCAATCAGCCTTCAGGGCTCAAACCACCCAGTTTATGATTCTGTTTCTGTCATGTACATTACCTGTCATTCCGGGGGGACAGATGCAGGAGAAAGAGTTGGGTCCGTCTATACACTTGGCCATACGGCAGGGGTTGGGTTTACAGTCGTCTATGTCCTCCTCACACCTGTCCCCTCTGAAGCCAGCGGGACAGATACATAGGTACTCCCCACTGCCAGGGGGGAGGTTGATGTTTGTAACACAGGAAGCTCTGTTCAGACAGCCACAGGGCCACACAGAGACCTGGGGACACACAGTGGAATAGGATATGTTAGTAGAGCTTGGTATCTGAGGTAAGCTACAGAACATGGGTAAGTTACTATATCTTGGTTACATGGGTAAGATGCATGGGTAAGGTACTGTGTCTTGGTTTTGAATGTCCTGCTAGTACAGTAAGGCTAGGCTCATACAGTATGTGATCTTTGACGATCAATGATAATTACACATCTAGAGCTCCCTCTTGTGGTATTAATCCATATTTAGACCTTTTAAGCGTCACTTTCAACAGCCTGTTGGCATGGTAAGCGAGACTAACCCTACCTGGACAGAGGCATGCGTCTCAGCATTACAATCGTCTGTAACGGTGAACCGAAAGGTCTGTGTGGAGGTGGAGGTGGCAGCGTCAGTAGCCTTCCAGATGACCAGGCCAGCGGGGGAGAGGGAGGCGTCACTGGGGCCTGACTCCAGAGTGAACAGCACCGCAGAGCCCTCTGGGTCCTGAGCCTGCAGCTGGTACACAAAGTTCTCCCCCTGGAACGTCTGCAGACGCCCCTGGGCTGCCTGAAACACTGGAGGCTCGTTCTCTGCCAGGAGCAGAATAGTATTTAGTAATAACATAATAATAACCTAATACTTTAATAATTTCATAATTAAAGGCCATATCCTTATTTGAGGTACAATAATGTTCCTTTATTTCAACTTGTTTATTGATATGTTTATCGATCTTTGTAAAATTTAGATTTTCTGTTTTCATTCCTCGTTCAAACCAGTTTAATCTGGAGTGATTTGGCCTAATTTTATATTAACAAAGAAAACTAAAATCAAATCACAGCAAAAAGAAGGCATTGGAACACATTGAATCAACCACAATTACAGTACACAAAGTACTTTAAGTTTCTGTAATTACGCTGACCTCAATCACACCTTATTCCCTACAGCATGACCAACTCTGAGCTGTTGACATGTTAACATATTCCAGAGACCATGCAGCCATATGTGTTCTCTGTGACCGTGTGCTGTCGTCAGTAGTTGGTGGTAGCAAATACCTTTTTCCGATTTCAGTTGGCTTGGTATGAATTTGTATACAGATGCATTTGTATAATATTAAAAGTAATTAACATATTGTAGTATTAGTAGAGGGTGCTGTACTTACTCTCAGCGATGGACCATGTGTACTTGGAGGAGTCTGGTCGGCATATCAAGCAAGGGCTTCTGGGATTTCGGTCTCCCTCTCCATAACATACACTGTCAATGTTGCATGTTTTCTCCTGGGGATCGATACACAGCAACACAATTGGCATATATCTGTTTGCCTTTTAGAAAACATCAAACATCTGATCTTGCCATTGAAATAGGAACCAGGAACACTTTTCGGGCCAACAAGAGAACAGGGCTGGCATTGACTTACTGCATACACACGCAAGTGAACCTTGATTGGACTAAAACACCTAATTGTTTCCTGTGTTAAGAGATGCCAGAGAGGTAATCATGCCAGCTTCAACCTATCATCTCACCCACACCACTTCTATATGGACCTCCAGCATACATTAAATGACAAACAGAGCATTGGCCACTTTTTGTTTGGGTGATAAATGTTCTGTTTGAGTTCTTCAGAAGAAAACTGGTTGGCACACATAACTAGGAGGAGTGGTGCTCAGGTAGCACATGGTGAAGTGTCCCCACTTGCGCCACATAGCTAGCTTTTTGTGTGGCGCCGTATGTTAAGACGCTTCAGGCTGATGGGTAAGTTTCACACATCCCCATGTGCTACACTCACATTTAGTTTTAAGAGGGGCCAGGCCGCATGTGCTGGTTTTTCCTGGTGGGAAAGGGGCCTGAAATTTGAGCTAGCCTGAACATCTGTTGAATGTCCCACAACATAATGTACTGTATCTGTTGAATGTTAGTGGCTGAAAAAGAACACAAACTACGAGAAGCTGATTCATGCATCCTCAGGCTGAGAACATTTTCTCAATCAAATTGGAAAACACAAGGAACAAGGACATGAAAAAAATGAATCATTTAAAATCAGACTCTAATCATTAAACAACACATTCTGATCTTGCTACCAGAAACGTTGTGATACCATTAAAACCCTGAGAAAAAAACAAAGAGAAACCCACCCTCGAGGTACAGAGAACGTCAGCATTGAGCGTGCAGATCTGACAGGCTCCATCGAACAGGGTCAGGATCTTGGCATTGCTGTAGCCGTAGCCATCGTTGGACACCTGCCAAGACAATGTTAATGACTTACTTATCAGTGACTACTGGTAATAAATATTTACAGAAGCTACTACTATAAGTAAGGGTATCTTGTCCAGGTTTCACCATCTTGAAAACATCTGGTAGGTGTGCAAACAAACCATATCAGAACACTAGACCAGAACACTGCCCTGCTACAAATAGTACTATTGTTTAGGGCTCTGTTATCCAGCTGTATTTTATGGGTCATTGGCCCATTCCCAAAAATTAGTCTGGACCCATTGGTGGGTTGGGGCCTTTTGGGTCACAGCTTAAGACTGGTTCCTGGTTAGAAATGACAAAAACATTACTGAGATGTGCTGCATAGCGTTGTTCCACTGACTTTGATCTGCCAGCGTGCGAGGGGTCTGCCGGTGGCCATATCCAGGTCCACGCCTGCAGTGGGTTGTCTATACCCCAGGGGGAGCTGACACTCCAGACCTGACACATCCAGGAAGGTAGCCAGGGAAAACTGAGGTTCGTCCAGGGTCCACTCACCATCCACAAACTGGACACACGCAGACAGAGACAGGCGGGGTCAGAAGTACTGTGCTACAGAAAATAATAGTATGGAGGTGTGTGTGTGTGTGTGTGTGTGTGTGTGTGTGTGTGTGTGTGTGTGTGTGTGTGTGTGTGTGTGTGTGTCGGTGTCGGTGTGTATGTGTGTGTTTGTGTGTGTGATGTAGTATGGTACCTTTTCCTTCAAAAATTCACACTTGAGTTCATAGGAGTCTTTGAAGCCTTGTCCAAAGACCTGTACAGTGGAGCAGTCACTCTGTCTGACATCACACAGTCCCTCGTTCTCCAGCTCTGTGATCTCTGGAGTCTGGTCTTCACCATCCCAGACGACAAAAAAAAATGCCAGCAGGTTTTTTAATCGCTTTACTAGGATTAGCTAATTACTGTGATATGTCTTTCATTTTGATTAACTATAAGCCAAACCCTGGCCTAGTGTTGACTTACAATATGTATGATTGACTTATAGATGTGTGTTACTGATCCAATCCTGCCCTCTTCTTACCAGAGATAACGCTGCAGTCGTAGGAGCCGAATCCGGGGAAGCACAAACACCCCCACTCGGAGCACTGCCCATTCCCATTACATAGATTAGGACACTTGAGGAAGGACAACATGTCCTGGTGCTCTCCCTCTCTCCCCCTCTCCTCCACTAGCCTCCTCTCACACTCGTTCTCAAGCAGAGGCAGAGTGGCGCCCACCCAGGCCTGGTCGTCCTTTAGCTGGAGGTCGCTGACGCACATAGCCACCGCCTGGCTCACTATGGCCGGGCCTAAGAGCCGGCCGCAGCCCAGGGCCACACTGGAGTTAGCCACCACCCGCTGGCACTGCACCCTGGCCTGGAGCTGTGTTAGCCCAGACGGGGTGGGCCAGGTGGGGGGAGGGGAGGACTCGGGCTGGGCTGCCAGCTCGTGGTCCTCTGGGAAGAAGTAGGTGAAGCCCTCCAGGTCGGACTGGCTCAAGCTCTGGTAGGGCGTGTTGGGGAGGAACTGGTAGGACTGGCGCCTTCCACGGCTTCTCTGGTTGTTGGCTCCATGGCTGGAGCCTGTTAGGGTAGAGCCTCTCTCTCCAGGCTGGGAGGCGGTGTCCTCGGCCTGGCCATGCTGGTTGGAGTTCCCTGAGGGGTAGACATGGTGGCCTTTGAACAGCTCTACTGAGTTGATGTATTCGGCAGTGACATCTAGAGTGGGGATTATACTGTGGAGTCTCACGTTGCCGTGGTGATAACAGGAGGAGTCAGAGCCAGGGATTGGCTGAGACCTGGTTCGCGGGGATTTGGGGCGGGACTCTTCTTCACAGTTACAGTACCTGTGAGGGTTTGGGGCGCTCTGATAGGACGGAACGGTGTCAAACAAGCTGCTACCAGGAGGGAGTCTGCCAGAAGAGAAATACAAACTCATCAGTTAGGATTTCTATGGAAATACATCACAACCACAGCTGAAAGAGCTCATGTACAGTACCAGTCAAAGGTTTGGACACACCTACTCATTCAAGGGTTTTTCTTTATTTGTACTATTTTCTACATTGTAGAATAATATTGAAGACATCAAAACTATGAAATAACACATATGGAATCATGTAGTAACCAAAAAAGTGTTAAACAAATCAAAATATATTTGAGATTTGAGATTCTTCAAATAGCCACCCTTTGCCTTGATGACAGCTTTGCACACTCTTGACATTCTCTCAACCAGCTTCACCTGGAATGCTTTTCCAACACTCTTGAAGGAGTTCCCACATATGCTGAGCACTTGTTGGCTGCTTTTCCTTCACTCTTCCGTCCGACTCATCCCAAACCATCTCAATTGGGTTGAGGTCGGGGGATTGTGGCCAGGTCATCTGATGCAGCACTCCATCACTCTCCTTCTTGGTAAAATAACCCTTACACAGCCCGGAGGTGTGTTGGGTCATTTTCCTGTTGAAAAACAAATGATAGTCCCACTAAGCCCAAACCAGATGGGATGGTGTATCGCTGCAGAATGCTGTGGTAGCCATGCTGGTTAAGTGTTGAATTCTAAATAAATCACAGACAGTGTCACCAACAAAGCACCCCCACACCATAACACCTCCTCCTCCATGCTTTACGGTGGGAAATACACATGTGGAGATCTCACAAAGACACGGCAGTTGGAACCAAAAATCTCAAATTTGGACTCAGATTTCCACCGGTCTAATGTCCATTGCTCGTGTTTCTTGGCCCAAGCAGGTCTCTTCTTCTTATTGGTGTCCTTTAGTAATGGTTTCTTTGCAGCAATTCGACCATGAAGGCCTGATTCACACAGTCCCCTCTGAACAGTTGATGTTGAGATGTGTCTGTGACTTGAACTCTGTGAAGCATTTATTTGGGCTGCAATTTCTGAGGCTGGTAACGCTAATGAACTTATCCTCTGCAGCAGAGGTAACTCTGGGTCTTCCATTCCTGTGGTGGTCCTCATGAGAGCCAGTTTCATCATAGCGCTTGATGGTTTTTGCGACTGCATTGAAGAAACGTTAAAAGTTATTGAAATGTTCCGTATTGACTGACCTTCATGTCTTAAAGTAATGACGGACTGTCATTTCTCTTTGCTTATTTGAGCTGTTCTTGCAATAATATGGACTTGATTTTTTACCAAATAGGGCTATCTTCTGTATACCCCACCTACCTTGTCACAACACAACTGATTGGCTCAAACGCATTAAGAAGGAAATACATTCCACTAAATTAACTTTTAAGAAGGCACACCTGTTAATTGAAATGCATTCCAGGTGACTACCTCATGAAGCTGGTTGAGAGAATGCCAAGAGTGTGCAAAGCTGTCATCAAGGCAAAGGGTGGCTATTTGAAGAATCTCAAATACAACATACATTTTGATCTGTTTAACACTTTTTTGGTTACTACATGATTCCATATGTGTTATTCATAGTTTTGATATCTTCACTATTGTTCTACAATGTAAAAAATAGTTAAAATAAAGAAAAACCCTTGAAGGAGTAGGTGTGTCCAAACTTTTGACTGATACTGTAAATGTTCAAAATGATTCATATCCAAAAGCCTGCTCCTGTTTTGCAGATCTAAAGAAACTGTATAGGCATAGGAATTACAATGAATGCTGCAGTGCAATCATTGGTAGGCTGGTTAGAATCTGCAAACTCCATAAAGTTAGGGACTAGAGGTTGATTTGAGATTTGGCATCAGACTAACCTCCATTCAGAGATGAAGGCTGCTACGTCTTCATTGTCCAGCGCTGCGCCCCCTGCTGTGTGGAGGTCATTGTGCGTCTGTCCGTCATACGTTCCCACACAGGCCCTCGGTGTGGCCCCAGTCTGAGCTGGGGGCCCTCAGGGTCAGACTCATGCCCCAGTCAGACACATCGGCACACACAAATGCCCCAGACGAGAAGGTAATCTACAGCACAGACAGAAAGGGGATTAGATCCTATTGTATTCTGTTGTATTTCATTTGATTTTACTCTATTCTATTGAGACTCAATTATTTTCTGCTTTCCAGTGCTTCGCTATATCATCACAGTCTGTATCATATCATAATTAGCATAAACAATTGAATACCGACTTTGCACTGTAAGTTTACACTGCCTTTCACAACACCCTATTGGCTAATGACTACTTCCTGTGGGCGTGGGCTTCCACTCAGTGACCTTTTCTTTTTCCTGGCACCACCAACTCATCAGAGGACAACTTTATTTTAAAATTTTTTATGTTACATTTTATTTACTTATTTATTCACTCACTGTGACTTTGCGTCCTTGGTAAGACTCAGTGATGCGGATGCCGCTCTTGCCCACGTCCCTGTTCTTCACTGACAGGTGCGGCCTGGTGTCCCCCAGCTCGCCGTTGCACATGTCGAAGGCTATGACATCACCGCCGTCCCTCGCGACGAACCCGCACATGCACGAGGCGCCGTGGACCAAGCTCCCGCACTCCCACTGGCGCACATGGACCTCGAACGGCTGCTGCGTGCTCTTGTACAGCACAAACGTCCCAATCTGGTAGTTGTCATACTGCCTGGAAGGAAATGCATTAAATACATTACAGTACAGTATCAGTTACTGTAATGTGTATTCTTGTGATTGTTATCATATTTGCAGACTAATATTGCCATGACTGCATCTATCATTTATGCTGACTAAAAAGGAGTGATTGAAGTACCTGCCATCAAACGTGATGATGTGAGGATCGGTGAAAGAGTAGCAGTATGCAGAGGGAACATCCTTCACTGTGATCTGAAAACACAGAGCAGATATCACATATCAAATATAATTTATTTCATTTTCACATTCAGCTATCTAGATGAGAAAATAAAGTGTATACAGTACATGCTTATATGATTGTGTTGGCAACTTACAGATTGTGTATGGGCAATTGTACACTATACAGTATATACAGCATCATAGCATATTCTCCATTGAGTGAGTTAAGTGTAACAACCTAGACTGGTCCCAGATCTGTTTATGCTGTCTTGCAAAGTCTTATGCCAAACAGTGTGACAATGACCATAGGAGTTGGCAAGATAGCACAAACAGATCTGGGACCAGGCTAATAACAACCGCCACTCTCCTCCCAACCCATCACAAGTTTTATTTTCTTCCAGTTACAGTACCTGGACACTCTGTGGTGTGTAGCCGCTCCAGAGGAAGTTGGATGTGACGATGGGTTTGACAGAGATCTGTGTCGTCCTGTCTCCGTCCCTGAGGAAGTCTGTGACAGCGCTGAGGTGAACCAGGGCCTGGCTACACACCCCGTTACGACACCCCAGGCTCTGGGAGAGATCCACCTGGCACGAGGACAACACCACATCTGGACCCAGCAGATCCTCTCCTATGGAGGACCAAATATATAATTTAATGGTTATTGTCGTTGGCTTTGTTTTTGTCTATTTTGTAGGGATACCGACATGTCAGAATGCGTTGTCACTGGAGAATCAAGACACTATGGAAATCAAACGTGTTGCCAAAATCTGTTATTAAAAATACTAAATTGTGAAGAATCTAACTTTACTGAGGTGATACTGTGAGTATGCAGGATTACTTACGAAGCCTTTACCTTGATTGCTTGTACTCAGGTGTAAGGAGAGAGTACACTGCTCTGTGGAGGAGGACGAGGAGGATGAGGAGGCATCGCCAGGGCAGGGGACAGGGATGGTACTCTCCACAGTCAACTCATAGTCCTTCCCATCCTCAGACACAGTAGTCACCTCTGGTCTCAACTGCAGAGACAAGTCACAAGAGACATTCTGACTAACCAGTGACTACTTAAAACAAAAGGAGACACACAAACCCAGACCCAGAGAGAGACAGACAGACAGGCACGCATGCACACACACCTTACACACTTTACACACACTCAAACACCAAATCCTTACACCAAATAGTGTTCTCTATCTCTTTGATTTACCCTGATCCCGGCGAAGAACTCTTTGCTCTCCACTGGGGTTCCCTGGATGTCCGGCGAGTCCAGAAAAAAACTGGAGCAACTGCAGTAAATCTGACAGAGAGGGAAGGACAGCCACAGCCGTTCAAGAGGAAGAGAGAGGCTACAGTTCAGGATGTATAAAAGCCTTTATAGTTGAAGCCAGGTGATAGACATGATACCACAGTAAAACAAAACAACATGTCTGACTAGAGTTTCATAAAAGGATGACAAAACAATATACTGTTTAACTTTGAAAGTTTAAAGATGGCCGGTGGCAATCTAGGTTTTAAACACGGCCAGCTCTATCGCTCTATATCCTCACTTGTAAAACAAATTCACTTCAGTTTTGAGAGAGAGCTCGGAAGCTAGCATTGTTTTTGCGTTTGACTGTTTTACAAGTGAGGTAGAAGCTACCCATAACCGCAAGTCTTGAATCAAATTGCACTACCCTCGATCTTAACCTTAACCATTAGAGAGAGGAAAGATATCTGCCCCTGCGTCAGTGGTTAGGGGTAACTTCTACCCACCTTGTCCCCCAGTCGGAGGTTGATCCCGTCCAGCTCGATGAAGGCAAAGGTTTGGACAGTAGTCTCCTGTTTCAGTTCTTCTTTGGTGCCTTGGGGGGAGAGGCGAGACCAGGCCACCACATAGCCTAGGGAGCTGTTCAGGCTGTGGCCTTCGAAGCTGCACTTCAGGTAGACGATGCTCCCAGAGAGCTCTGCTACTATCACAGGCACCGCTGGGGAAGGAGGCTGTTTAGCTGGAAGGGATAACGGAGTCGTGTTCAGTAGGGTAAACCGTAACAAAATGTTTAGCAACATGTTTTATTTGACAAAATTAGACTGAATGTCTTGTTGGACAAAATGGGAAGTTCCTACCTGTTGCACTCAGTTTTCTTCCTACTGAACATGTCCCTGGTATTTACATAGATATAGCAGGTCATCATTTATACAGTATTTGGGTGATATGAGATGGTTGTGTATAATACAAGCTTGGCTGAATGTTTTTGTCTTGTGACCCACCAAGTAATCAAAATCAATATATCAGGCAAGGAACCAGTCATCAGCCACAGCCCAACAGAGGGTTCCAACATTTTGGTCTATTTCTGTAACCCTAATCAGGGAAAGGGGCCAACCATAACAAACCGAAACAGTAGGTACCGTCTCCTATTTATAGTTTCCCTTCCAACTTGATAACTTCTCTTGTGTGAATTAAAGTTAATTAAACCATCCACCTATGTCCCCAGCCCCCCTCCTCCTTCGCCATAAAACCAGAGGAGGGATAATTCATGACCTCAGTGAGAGATGTCGTCATGGAGATGGGGCGAGTGACGCGGGCGGCAGGACACACATGCTTAGCTCATTAAGAGGACCTGTGAGGGGCCTGTTGCTGCATTCCACACCGCCTGGCAATTCTGACGCGGCTTGTTGTGGTGTCTGACTTTAACAAGGGCCTCCTATAGAGCTCACTCACCTTTACACGTTCCATCAACCTCCACCTCGTCAGGACCACACACCACCGCCGCAGAGTCTGACATCTCTGCATGGTGAATGATAGCAGGACAATTAACAATGGTGGTCGTAACAGTTAACACTACAGAGGTCTGAATCACTAGCACATAAATAACAGTTGAATGAGTTACATGCAGTTAGTGCTAATTCTCTAGTGTTTTTGACAGTTGTATCATGTCACCTTTACATCCGCTATTACCACTATAAGAATTCCCTCTTAAATAATTAAATTAGATCTATTCTATTCTAGGAGCATGTCCAGCATTTAGCAAACACTTTTAAAGAAACCTACAGCACTGTCACGTTTACATTGACACATAAAGAGATCAAAGCATAGAGCATTGGCAATAAGCTATGAAAGTGATGCAGCATTACATCATACTTCCGGGGTCAGCCCTAATCTTTTGAATGGGCTTGACGATTATACCATCAAATTCATGAAAACACGGTCATTTATACAATTATATTTGTGTTTGTGGATGAATTGACTTCTGCCAGATAGATGCCTTTTATGACATTTTGGCGCTGAAGACCATTGCGCTACGTTTCTGCCCATTGAAGACCCTTCAAAAAGCCTACAAAAGAAAAAAATGACTTCAAGGCTACTTCCTGGAAAATGCAGCCTCACTTTCATAGCGTATAGAGCTCCTCATTGCCTCCACCTAAACAGACTATCGTAAACAGCTGCTGTACCCTGTGCGCAGTAGCCCATGCAACCCTGGGTGGGCTGGAGCAGGTAGACGTAGAAGTCTCCACAGTTGCGCACGGTGACAGGGATGCGGAACAGGCAGCAGTCCTTACTGCTGCTGAGGAAGAACTGCCAGGTGGCACAGGCCGTCAGTTGCGTCACCTCCAGGGGCCGCGGGAGGCTCTCGCCCTCCCCCAGAGACAGCCACACTGGGGCCTGGGTCCCACAGTGGTTCACCTGGTGGACACAGATGAAGACAATGGAGAACAGAATAAGACTACTTGAGCCTGGTTCCAGATCTGTTTGCGCTGTCTCGCAAACTCCTTGTCACTCATTGTGACAATAAGTAAGACAGCACAAACATGTCTGGGACCAGGCTAGTTTATACTGGGTGGTAATAATACAACTACATGGGTAATGATTGGTAGGGCGACACTTTGCAGACAACAACTGCAATATGACACATGACAATGCCCTGGGAAGAAGAGGAAGCTGACACCTCTGATGGATCCTTCAGTCTGCAGCACAGCAGGCAGCCCAGGGAAAATGAGGAACTGAAAATGTTTCCTGTCTCTCTCCTGTCTCTCTCGTCTCTCTCCTGTCTCTCTCCTGTCTCTCTCTCTCTTTGGTCCTTTGCTTAATGCTGATACCATCCCAGTCTCCTTGGAACAAAGAGCCTATGTTCACTTCAAAGGCCAAGACTAGCACTCATGTTACCACTGCAATGACTGGGCTACTCACTGAAAAGTACTCTAGTGCAAGAAGAACTAGCATATAATTGGGACAATGCTCTTCTGTACTGTTCTGACTGAGGCATGGCATTTGCTATGAAAGACCACCTAAACCAGGTGTGTCAAACTCCTTTTTCCCCGGGGGCCACAATTGGTCTTCAACGAGGTCCGGAGGGCGGCACAATTTAAAAAATATATATTTCCTCGCCGTCAAAATATGTAAAAAGAATAGTCCTCTAGCCATCTTTTATTTTTTCCAATGCTCCCTGACTGTCTAGCTTTCATTTCGGTGATTATTAGCAAGCTGTATACAGTCGAGAAACAATATGGGTGTTTGCGACACATTGGGGGATGGGGTGACCTCCATACATTGTAACATGCTTTGAGACCTAGAGAGAAAAAATACTATAAAATAAAACGTATTATCTGTATTTACCTCCACACATTGTGTGGGCATGCTGGCAGGCTTGTCAAAGATCTGGAACTGGTACCAGCCTGGTATGAGGGAATGGTCACAGATGAAGTTCTGGAGGGCTGACTGCTGTAGGCTGCGGGAGCTGAAACTGGTGCTACGGTATGGGTTCTGGAGCAGAGAGTGACCCCCCGGAGCACATTCTGGGGGCAGCACTGAGGATAGACACAAGCAGCCAAATATAGCATGAGCATGAGTGAATAAGGTGTTGCTGTGTTTTCACTCAAAGCATGTACACACGCACGCATATGCACACAAGTTACCGATGCCAAGTTACCCCCTCAACACACACACAATCAACTGAGTTAGAAATGTAACACTATGTCAATACTATGTTGCAACCATGTAATAACTAGGCCTAGCCTAATCATAACAACTGTAAAATAGGAGTTATGGGATTATGAGACAAATTAATGTTGGAAATATGTTGATCTTGGTGATCTTGTTTGTACTTTTGTGCAAAAAAAACGACAGTTAACAAAACAATGATTTTCTGGAGATGGAAAGTCTAGGAGTTGTGACTAGAGGGAGTACAGCTACAAACAGACGTTACATTTCGTAGCAGGTTAGGAGACCATTTTAGCTAACCCTAACCCTAACCCTTTTCCTAACCTTAACCTAAGTCTCCTAACCTGCTACGTTAATTATCCTAACCTGCTGCATAAATTATACTAACCTGCTACGAAAAAGTCACTTCTGATCGTAGCTGTACTCCCTCTAGTCAGAACCAAGTAAAAAATGGTGACATCATAGAGTGACACTGATATTCTAGGTGCATCAATCAAACAATTACTTGACAAAATAACAAAGTATTTCAAAAAATATTATGTTAAAATATCTAAAATAACAAAGATAACTGTTTATAACTATGGAGGACCCTTTCCAGAGTAACGCCTTCACACCTGACTCAACACAAGGTAAGTATTTTCTGTTAAATTACAATTCAGAGCTCTCAAAACTGGCTGTTAGCTTTTAAACTCTCTAACTGTCTATGCTTTATTCTAAAGTTGGCATGAAATTATCATTTTGGATGACAGAAATTAACAAGGCAAAGGCATAATGACTTTACAAATGCATTCATTCATAATAAACTGTAAAAAATATTTTGTGAATAAAAAAATTATAATTTGGTTTCCTTTCAGGAAACAGCTTGCTGGCAGGACAGATAACTCTGGTCATAGATCACAGCACAAACCCTCCGGTTGTAACAGCCCATTTCCAGCAGCCTCCTAATCATCCCAATCTCCCACATCACCATCTTCATCATCACCATCAACCCATTCCTTCTCATCCTCAAACCCATCAACATGCTATCTATGGCACATTGTTGTCTACCAAAGGTCAGCCCCCTCAGCCACCACCAGTGCCACAAATCTGGGCAGTATGCCCCCCACCAGGGTACATCTATGTGGCTGCACCAGCACCTGCAACCAACATTACCATGGCACCTATTGACACAACACTGAACACTGGCAATCCAGCTGTTCCATTGGAGGAGGCTAAAGGAAGCCCTGCGACAGAAGCTACAAAAAATAAACAGGAGGAAGCAGAGCAGGGAAGAGGGGAGACAACAAAGAAGATGGCCATCTTTGGAGAGGTTGGTGACAGTAGTGATGGCATGAACAGTGAAAAGATAGAAGGTGAAAAGAGGGATGGTGAAAGTGTAGAGGAGAGTAATCCTAGTCCTGTGAAGTGTGCTGTGAAGGAGGTGGTTCAATGTGCAAGGAGAGATGCTGCAGATGGAGGTGGGGACAGAACAGGTTCAGACATTTCATCTTCCAGGAAGCAGAAAGGTAGTGTTAAGGGGGCTAAGTTAGAGGCGGGGCCTACCCCAAAGGCTCCCCGACCACCCCAACCTCCAAGGAGCCGTCTGGGTCATCAGATGATGCAGTCTGTTCAGGTCTTCCACAAACTCGGGGTCAAAGCTCAGACTTCCAATCAGTCCAACCAGTCCATTCCCAATGAACAAATGACAGAAGAAAAAGTCATTTTGATGGACCAGGACCTGCTAGACTTTGAGACAATTCATGTTACCGTAGCAAACTGTAACTCCTCAGTGGTGGAAAAAAGAATACGAGATGATGTAGATACTATTGGGGCATCCCAAGCTGAACATCCTTCGTCTGCAAAACCAACGGTCTTTGACAACCCAATAACACTTGACAACCTTTCACAGAAGTCTGCTAGCTCCACAACCAAGTTTGTCTCCCCATCCTGTCAGAGTAGGCAACCAACTTCATTAGGGGGAACAATCCATAGAGACCCCACACACTCTCAACCCTTCGCACCACCCACTACCCACAACCACACCCTGTTCAAAGCCCCCAACCCTCACCTAAGGAGAAGGTACCGTAGTTTTCGCCATCAGTTTCCCTCATTACCCAACACGTACCATCACCCAACCCCTCCTGGGCAGCATGGGAGGTTACCCCCCCCTGATTCCCTCTACTTCCCCAACCCGTGGCAGGCCTCGGTGCCCATCTCTCTGTGGCAGAGGGAGGAGAGGGAGGACATGAAGAGGAAGACCCAGCAGCAGAGAGAAAGGGTGTCCCGGGTTACCAAACAGGGCTGGGACCACAACGTGTTCATCAACAGGGAGCAGTACACTCTGGAGAACTACCTGAGTAGTCCCACAGTACCCATCCTGAAGGGCACCATGAGTGCCTGGAAAAAACTAATGGAGATCTGGAATAAATGAATGGCTATTTTTTTGTTTGCACGTGTTTTGTGTATCTTTTCGTAAACTATATTGATGCACAGGGTATACTACAAAAGATGTTAAAGGTGCTTCACTTCTATGTCTTCTACATTGACTGTCACTGTACTCTATGCATGTCACGGACAGTCGTGTTTCACTCATTTAATGTGATGTGATTTACAGGGAATTGTCAAATCCACTATGCACAGTGAGGAGCTCCACTTTGTATGTGATTGTCTTCTACTTCCCCTACATCTATGTTGTAATCTAATGTATCCAATGACAGTTCCAGCTCGGAGCAGGAATGTTTGGTAGTTGCCACAGAAACATCAGCTGTGTTCACCTTAGTAACAGTTCTGACATCACAGTCAGGTAATGGTGGAGCAACATTCTAAAAACATTCTAAAATGTGCTACTGATGCTCTTGATTTTATGTAGGTTTGTCCTTTACAATGTGCCTGGCATAAGAGCAGAGGATGAAAATGAACTTTCAGTACAATTACCAAAAACAATTATTACAACAAGATCATGGTAAGTGTATGTTGTTTGAACGTCTTTTTGTTCAGTCTAGAATAGTAGCAGAACCACAATACAAAAGATTATGAAATAATCAGAAAATGCTTCACAGAGAAAGTGTACTTAGATCGTACTAGCATCAAATATGATTACTATTAATTGCAAGCCTAACAAAAATAGATAACCTAGATGGTCATGATTTCTCAAATATTTAATAGCAAACTAATTTGATTGTCTTCAATATACAGGACACCCTTCAAATATGGGCCTAGATTCTGCTGTTCTTGCAAACATTTCCACAGAGGCCTACACCTCTGGAGGTATCATCCGGCCATCTACACAATTGATTGATTATGTCTACACTCCACACCCTCAGCCCCTTCCGATGATGCCTATTGGACCAGCCTGGCCCACCTGGTACTCACAGCCATATCCCCAACCATACCACTGTGCTCCAACCATTGTGGGTGTTGCTATACCTCCCGTGTCAGTGGTTGATCCCAGCATCCCCTCTATGGTGATGGAAGGAGAGAAGGAGAAGAGGCGACGAGCTGTTAGGTCGAGGTCAAAAAGAGACCCCAACAGTTTCACTCAGAAATATAGGAGATTGATGGAGGTGATGGGCAAGACTGGAAACAAAATTGACGACACCCCTTATATAAACTATCAGAGGTTTGGGAACACAAACGATATGTATAAGAGATGGGATGCTACTGATATGGTGAATCTTCCAAGTCAGGCAATTGAGGCCCAAACAGAAGATATGGGTACCTCTGACAGAGACTTGTGTCAGAAGCAGAAATATATGCTAATGTTTCATGAAGAGCAGAACAGCATGAGGGAAAAGAAAGACGAAGACAAGATGAATAGAGAGCAAGATGGAGAGAAAACCCCAAAAGTGAGAGCTGTGGGACTGAAAGGCCAACATGAGATGAGCATGAGTCAGAGCATTCGCAGCCAAGTGAAAAGTCATAGCCCAACTAACTATGACACAGTGACGACAGTCGGACAAGCCGTTGCAGGTGACGACAGGAGCTTTCAGAACTACCCTATCATCGTCCACTCTCAGCAGCACCTGGTCAGTCCGTCTCTCTTCAACCAAGCCGGGAACTCTCACAGTCAATGTCCTGAGATACCCTTCAGCACCATATCCCTGTCAGAGTGGGCGGCCCTCATGGACACGTGTCTCTCCCCACCTTGGCCACAGGGGTCAAAGGCTTTTGTAGTTGGAGAAGACACAGAGACAGGCTTGGCCCCTGCTGCCTCCAATGACAGGTCAACAGACTGCCATAGCAATGAGAGTCGTAGTAGGTATGTGCCCTTGGATGACAGCACCTTGATTGATGAACTTTACTATCAGTACACATGCCACAGATCTACACCATTCTTACCAGATGGACAGGACTAACGAATGGAGAGAGCAGGTTCAAAATCATCTGAGACTTTTGAAAATGTTTATCTGGCTCTAATAAATTATATATTTTCAGCATTCAAAACTGTATTGTGACCTTTTCTTCCATAGCTATGGGACATTTATCCCCCCGTTCATAATAGTAGGCCTAATGTGTTCACAATGTTCATCAAAAACCATGTCCTTTGAAAAAAGAAGCTTGAAACCCATTGGTAGGCTACAGGTAATTTTCGCACTTCATTTTACGGTCTACATACAATTTAGTCCCAATTTAGCATGATCAGTTAATAACATTAGCATATCACTTACCTGTTTGAGAAAACATTGTATTTGGGAGTAAAATGATAAGGAAATAAAAAAGTTCCAAAACTATTTGAAGTTTCATCGTTCACGAGCCAATGTGAAGCCTTCCAAAATGACCACTGACAGACCACGGTTTTACAAAGGTCCTTGGCTCCTCAAAAGGTATGCTCAGTTCAGCTGCCTTCGGTTTTCCATTAGCCTAAAAAAAGAGTATGGATAGGCTGAAATAAGCTAAAATCAAAGACACAGGCGAGAGTCAAAGAAAGTCCGTTTCTAGGAGGTTCGCAAGAGCTGATAAAAGCACTTCCCCAGCACACCGGACTGCGGCGCGTGACCACAAACTCCACGAGCAATAGCAGCATCATATTAGGAGGAGCGTCCACTAACCTTATCTCGACCGAATCTACAGCCGCGACTGTTTGGACAAGGACAAGTGATAAGAGTATTGGGGACTATTCAGCTGTATCAACAGGAAAGTGGTCGAGTCGTCATCATGATTGTGGTCATTCATTCACTGAGAACGGATGCAGCTTTCCATTGTGAGCAAATGTAAAAATGGTAGGCCTAAATCAATTATGAAATAAAAGTAGAATTTTTATGCTTTTCTTGTTGTTGAAAATAATGGACTGTTATTACAATATTTGTTCTTGGTACAATGTTATTAGTCATGATTGATTTTTCCTCTGGACTGTAATTACCACTCAACAAACTGTCTGTGAACTCTACCCAAAACACATAATTTTGTCACCGTTGGTGCTGCTGAGTGGATGACATTCTGTTGTATACTATCATCTTTACAAATGCATAATAAACAAAAACAACGGAAATTAATTATAGCACTGCAAATTTATGACAATATCATTAGTTGATTGAAATGTTAACACCTGACCAATTTGACCGAGCTTGGCAGGTAATTTGCCTTATAATTATTCTGCAGTATACTATAATTAGACACATTCCATAGGCCCACGTAGGACCAGAACAGTACGGTTAAACTGAATTTACCACAGGCAAAGAGGTGTACAGCCTAGGAAAACCTTTTTTCCCTAGACATCCAAAAAATGTGTTGTTTTCTCTCTAAATATCCAACGATCTAGGCGATAATGATGTCCATCCACTATGCAGTCATGGGATGTTTAGTCACTACTCCAATCCACTAAACCAGATGGTCATACTGTATCTTTCAGGAAAATGACTCGGCCAAAGACTGGGATTTTGGATAGGCCAGATATCACGTAGGCCAATGTAGCTCACTCTAAACTGTATCCATTCTCATTTCATTTTAAAGTGCATTGTGCAACCATATACCTTACAGCAGTGGTTCCCAACCAGGGGTACTAGGACCCCTTGGGGGTACTTGGCCTATCCACAGGGAGTACTTGAGAAGAGTTATGAGACCATAGGCTTACTGGTAAAATGCTCATGAGGGGGTACTTCAGGGGTACTCCGGGCAGAGCAAAATTCAGTTGGTGGCACAGTAAGCAAAAAAGTTTGGGAACCACTGTGCTTACAGCATTCCAAGATCTCTTTCAGTGTTTGGATTTGACCTGACAATGATCGCTCAGTTTGAATTGTTTATACACAGATGTAGGATCTTAATTTGAGCCAGTTTGCTACAGCATGAAAATAATCCTGAAGCAATATGTGAATTATTATGTGGATTATAATCTGGAAATGTTTTGTAGGGGCTGATACATTATTTGTTATGGCAAATCAAGTCTGACATTTTTAAGTGGAAATTACAAATGGAAGATTTTTTAAACCTCGAATACACTACATGTTTGCTTTTCCTGATGTACTGGGAAATTATCAGCAACAATAGTGATCAAATTAAGATTCTACATCGGGAAAAATGGGAAACGCTATTAATTGCTGAGCCCCAGTTTAACCTATGATATAACGGCAATGTGTGTGAGACATAAAAAATTGTCAGATCACCAGAAACCAGATGTTGAATTGTGTTTATAAAGACTGCAATTTCCCCATAGCTGTGGACATCATTCAATAATAACACATTGAAATCCCACACTGACATTTGTTTGAGAACTGTTGAAATTACATAACACATAATTAAATATCTCTATAAAGACAGGACTGATACCTTAATGGGGGGGGTTTTCAGTGGGCTCAAAGTGCTCATGAAAAACAAACAAACCAATCAGATGGGTGATCTTTTTTTCTGAAGGTCATAGAATGGTTTTCACATGATGACCTTTATATTCTGCTGGAGAAAGGTTCTCTAACTGTCTTGTCCAGGGCTTTCTCCTTTCGACTCTCAGGCAGAGGGAGGAACAACCTCTTGCTCGTAAATCTCTTGGACCATCAACCTGTGAGAGTCTGGAAAATCTATCAGATAAAGCACAGATATTCCCCCTCATGCAGTTTCTCTCCCATAACAAGTAATTAGGTCAAATCTTGTGCATTCCTAATCACTTTGTTTTTCAACCATGTGAACACTGTATACAATCATGTATAAGTCTAATCTTGGGGGAAGAATAAGTGATCTCACCAATTAACAAATACAGGTAACTGACAATTTGATAGTTTAATCTAAACACGTGACCTCATTTTGTGCAATTTTCCCCATCATAATCAGTTATGCATGCATGGAGTGAGGAGAAAATAACACTACTTCCTATACCTCCTGTGGGAAATCTGATGTCAGCTAATGGAACCATGGAACAAAACCAGTGTGTAATTACCTTGACCTCCACCTACAAACCCTGATTGCACAACTTCATGTACACACAACATGGTTTTGGTATTTATATTATTTATACTTTTAGCCCCTAATTTGTGCAACACAAAACGCGTCCCTCTCACATCCAATATTTACATCACAGTGTAACACCTACTACTAAAGCACACACAGTTTTAACTATTTCACCAACAGAACAAAACAAAGGAAGCAAAATACTAAAGATAAAGACAGAACAGGCTCCATGATTTATGGCACAAGGAAAAGTAAATGATAGCTCTAGTGACAGGCCTTACAGGGCCATTAACGGACTGACCTTGTCCATGTAGCCCAGTGGTGTTGCAACAGGGAACCACTCAAGAGGCCAAAGCCATACACATGTCCAGACATGTTGTCACGATCGTCGGGTACAGAGGACCAAGGCGCAGCGTGAAAGGTGAACATATTTATTAAATAATGATAACACGAACAAAAACAACAAATGATAACGTGACGTCCTCGGTCTAACACAAACCACACTGGAACAAGATCCCACAAACACTGTGGGAAAACTGGCTGCTTAAGTATGGTTCCCAATCAGAGAGAACAAGCAACAGCTGATACACGTTGCCTCTGACCTCACTTGCCCAGCCCACTTCTGCTTATTGATAGAAATATGGCACTATGGAGAAATGGAGAAAGTGATGCTCATTATAATCAATTGCCAAGGAGGAGGTACTGCTGAGCAGATTGGTATATCGACATTGTCAAATGTTATACAGACAAAAAGGATGGGAGGCTATTATAGAACATGGTAAAAACGATGGAAATAGTTTCATTATTTCACTAGACACTATGCAGTATTAAAGCTGTCGATATGCATGACCTTGTTTCTAGTGCCCTAGCTGCACAGTAAATAATAATAACCCTCACACTGCTTGTTGTGCTCCACAAACAACCTAAACTATGAGGTCTTCATCAGGTCTCATGTCAGTTGCTGACCTCTGAACTTTTTAGATATGCACACAGTGTTCCACCCTTTCTGACATGACATCTAAGTATGACATTGACCCAGCACCCTGATTTACACTGCAACCTGTTCACTGAAATGAAGGATGAAAGTACTTACTTAAACCCAATGCACTGGGGAAATGAACCTCCACTTGACCCTTTGATTGTCATGGAGAACTACATCATACTGTTTCTTCACTTTAGGTCTTGTTCTTGTATAATAATTACATAATGTCTCAATTAACTAGGCAACCAATCCCGGTCGAGGCGAGAGACGGCTTATATATATATATATATATATATATATGTATATATTATTTTTTTGGTCTAAAAAATTATTATTATTATTATTATTATTAATATGTTTTTTTTTTTTTTTTTTTTTTTTTACATTTTTGTGGGGGTGGGGGTGATTATTTTTATACTATCCCAGGTATTCCTTAAAGATGTAGGGTTTCAAGTGTCTCCGGAAGGTGGTTAGTGACTCCACTGTCCTGGCGTCGTGAGGGAGCTTGTTCCACCATTGGGGTGCCAGAGCAGCGAACAGTTTTGACTGGGCTGAGCGGGAACTGTGCTTCCGCAGAGGTAGGGGGACCAGCAGGCCAGAGGTGGAAGAACGCAATGCCCTCGTTTGGGTGTAGGGACTGATTAGAGCCTGAAGGTAAGGAGGTGCCGTTCCCCTCACAGCTCCGTAGGCAAGCACCATGGTCTTGTAGCAGATGCGAGCTTCAACTGGAAGCCAGTGGAGTGTGCGGAGGAGCGGGGTGACGTGAGAAAACTTGGGAAGGTTGAACACCAGACGGGCTGCGGCATTCTGGATGAGTTGTAGGGGTTTAATGGCACAGACAGGGAGCCCAGCCAACAGCGAGTTGCAGTAATCCAGACGGGAGATGACAAGTGCCTGGATTAGGACCTGTGCCGCTTCCTGTGTAAGGTAGGGTCGTACTCTGTGATTGTTGTAGAGCATGAACCTACAGGATCCGGTCACCGCTTTGATGTTAGCGGA